CGCAACTCCTATTGGCTGGGAACTGTGATCCCCATGCTTATGGAGGTGTAGGTGAATATGTTAGTGTGGGGACCCAACAAGGGCTAATTTTGGCAGACTGTATCTGGCCCATGGGCTGGTAGTTGCCTGCCCCTGGTTTAAACACTGAGGTAAAACCGACGTAGTCATGACAACAGGCCCCAATCTTGTAGGGGAGCTCTGAACTCACCTATAAGAAACTCTATTTTCCTTTGCTTTGACTATCATGCTGGGACTTAGACTTTCAGATGCCTAGAGTGAGGCAGCAGTGTGCATGCTCAGAAGCAGAAATATAGGTGCCTAGGGAACTTTTGCAGCAGAAATTTAAGCACTGAGTGCGTTTAGGCACCTATAGATTAAGGGGGCAGCTGAGTGGGAATTCTCATGACTAAATATTGAATACAGGCCGCTCAAGTGGCAACTGAATGCCAAAATCCCTAAATCAATCTGGCCCCCAGATCATCATGCTGAACACCACAGTAAAGCTGCTGATGTGACATTTGCAACGGTTCTCAGTTTTTATGTGATTGCTATTTAAATGAATTGCTCAGATTGGTACAGTGCCTCGAGGATGGAATGTTGAAATGGCAGCCTGTTTTCAAGCTATTGGTATCACTCCACAAATATAGCTCTCCTGAATTCCTAATGTATTTGTGTGTTTGGAGAGAGAAATGCGTGTGTGTAATCAGGCGGACAGGATTTATTGAGAGTACTGACATCATTGGTGAGGTTTGCTGCACTTTGTCCATTAGTCATTGTGGTAAATAGCCACAAAATTTTGGAATTCTACACTGTATTGCTCTGACACCTGTTTATTTCTTTTTTACGTTGCAGTTTAATGTCTTGTATTTTATGTTAATTGGATATTATTAGTTGAAGGAAAGGAATGTTAGCGTAGTCTACATAGTGGGTTTCCATGGTTTTTGTTTTGTCACAGTAGAGATGAAATGACTGTGTAATCATTTGGTAGAGAGAGATGTTTTTATTTTACTTGGTGTAAAATTTCAATATTAGATCTTTTCATTGTTTCAATACTTAGGGGTTTTTTTTGTTTTAATATATTGTGAACATCTCTCTTCTTCTGGTTTCAACAAAATAAAAAATCCTAATTTTATATAAAGAAATTAATAATTTTCTGCTGCCAAGTTGAAATGCATGCTGTGAAAAGGCATATAGAATATATAAAGAGGAGTTTCTACCCACATGGCTCTTTAATCGCAGTTATTCTAAATCTGCTGGTTTTTTGGTTCCTAACAAAATTTGAGTTTGATGATACTGCATGAGGAGTGCAGTCGTTGCCATTGAAAAGTCTGCATTTGCCAGCAGTTACCACACAGTGGGTCAGTATCTTTGGACCACAATGTGAATGTGTCAACTTGGAAAATAAGGGCCAGATTCCCTTCTAAACTTTAAATTGGGTTTACTAAAAGCTGGATTTAGAGCTGTTGCCCATCACCAAATCTATAAGAACATGCCAGTGAATTCTGAGCCAAGAGTTAAAACTATGAATAGGGGCTTGGAGGGCCGGCGGGCATAGAGATTAGTTCATCTGACTTCTGGTCCCTGGTCTCTGTCAGGGCAATACTGATTTCTATTCCTGACCTTAGGCCAGCCATCTTCAGCTTTCCACTTGCATCTGGGACATAGCTCCTAAAAGGATGTGGTATGGGGACCTGGGCCATCCCTTTCCGATAGGTTATTATCTAGGAACATGTGGAAAGCAACACACGTTCTCCCTGCAGTAAGTTCACTTCCCTGGGTTACTTCCTAGCAGTAGGTCGCTTCAGTTTGGACCTCATCCTCTATGGTGCAGTCAGTCTCTCTCAACAAAACCAAGTCAAAAGAAGCAAGACCCTGCAGGTCCTATTGGTGCTGAGAGGGTGGAGGATGGAGAAGGCACTGTCTCAAGGCCTTACCCACTGTGTGGTCCCCTCTCAGGCTCAACTTTCTGCCTAACTTCCTGGAGAAGCATTTCTCTCTTGCAGCCTGTCCACCATCCCTTGCCTGAGCTTTTGAGCACCTATTGAACCTGATACTCCAGATGGAGCATGCTCATCAGGCCTGGAGGGGCAGAGCTGCTTGGTCCCAGTAGTGTCTTAACACCTTTGGGGCGCAGTGTGGGGTTTGTATACCCCATCACACACCCTCCCACTCAGCCACATGTCTGCTCTGGTTCATAGAAGATACTGGCATTTGTGTTTTCCTTTCCTGTGTGATGGGACACCTGGAACCTCTATGACTGCATCAAGAGATACCACTGTATGATGTGGTCTTGAATGGAGTTCAGTCTTCAGAGAGATGCATAGCTACAAGGTGGAAGGGTTGCCCGCATAAGTAATTTCACAGGGCATCAGTTGCTACTTTTACTTCCAGTACCTTTTTCGTATGCCACTTCCCAGGGGAGCAGCTTTCTACTGAGAACAAAAATGGGTTGCTCTTCTCCTCTGAATTCTCAACATCACTGCCCCAAGCCTGACTTCTCTGCACTGTTTTGCACAATAAATGATTTTGTGAACTCTGTGTAGAATAGCACAAGTTCCTGGCTCAACTGGTCTTCAAGTGCTTTAAATGCCTCATCACAATTTTTCATCCAACAAGATATTTTTGGGATGCTGAATCCTGTCCAGGTCCATCACAAAGGGGCAGCAATGATACCAAAGGTAGGGTACTGTCAGAGATTCATCCCCAGCATTTCTAGGAAACTGTGAACTTGCTTCTTGGTGGAAGGGAGAGGGAAATCAGCTAGAGCTTGGACTTTGTCCGCCAGGGATCATAACTGTCCCCTCCCACTGTGTGCTCCAGGTGAGTGACTTCTTTGGCAGCCAGATGACACTTGATTGGGTTGGCCATCAATGCTGCCTCCATTCGAGCTTGTTGTTTGCAATAGTATGCCTTGTATGGTCAGCCCACTCTTCATTCACAGCATTTTCATGTGTGGTGCAGGGGGCTGTTCCTCAGGCAGTTGTGGCACCGTATCCATCAATCACTGAAAGGTGGCAGTGGCCCTATGGAGCCCAGAGGGCCTGGTCTTAAACTGATAAAACCAAATTGGGTGAAGAAAGCAGTCATCTCTTTAAACTTGGGATTCAAGGGTTTCTGCCAATACCCTTTCATTAGACTGAGAGTGTGGAATGTATGCTCTGCTGCTTCCACAGACTGCAAAATCCATCTTGTCAGACAAGAAATCCGCACTGAGGAGTGCTGTGGTGGACTCTTACTGCAGCAGTTTGGTGATGGTGCATGATCATTTACCTGCAAGGACAGTCCTTCCTCTGGGTCCTAAGCACTCCTCTTGTGGTTTCCTTCCTTGGCTAGGTCTCTGGTCACATTAGCATCTACCATTTTGATGAGGTTTTGCAGTTAATTTAACTTCTTTTATTGTTTAGGGCTGTATGTCTCCATGATAGAGCATCCCTCCATGCTGCCTCCTGGCCTCACCAGCTACTCCCTGACCAGAATTTGGCTGCATCTAGCAGTCCTTGCATGGCCCTCTCTCCAGATAGACTAACATCTTCCTTGGGCCCTTCTTCTGAGCCTAGCTATCTGTAGTCTAGGTCTCCCAGTGGAGATGGCCCCTGTAATATGGACCAGTTATGACAAGTAGAGTGCCAATGGATTGGCCCAGATTCCCACTGGCCATGGAGGCATGCCGGAAACTCTCTTGAACAACATGACAAGGAATGCCTCTGGGTCATCTGTGTGTCCATCTTTAGCTGTTTCACCAGGTTGGCTGGCACTAAGCTAGTACGTCCCCCTTTCTTGGTAAGACTTGCTGCCGCCCCGAGTGTCTGTCTGAGTGTAATCATCTACTTGATGAGCTGCTGCTGTCTTCCCAGTTCTTGAATCAGCTGCTGTTGATGAGCAGTGTGTGCTGGATCGATGCAGTCCAGTAGCAGAGCTACTGTGAATAATTTTCTAGGGCACACTTAAGCAACTTCTCAATCTATTTTCTCACCCCTCCCCTTTCCTTCTGGCCTAATTTCAAGCCTGGGACCCTATGGTTCTCTCGTGGTCTTCCATGTGTAATGAGAGCTGAGTGGCCTAGTGGTTAGCACACTTAACTTCCATCCACAGCCCTCCCTGCCAGGGCAATATGGATATCTGTTCCTGACCTACAGCCAGGAATCTTCAGCTTTCCTCCAACATCTGGGCCTTAGCTGATAAAGGGTGTGGTAATGGGAACTAGGTCTTTCTTCACCAGGTCCCAGCACAGGGCAGCAACAAAGGCAGGATCTTCCTTGTAGTAGGTCCAAGTTCACATCCCTGGGATACTTCCTGCCAGTAGGCTCTTCAATTTGGGGGTACGTGCCCTATAGACCAGTCAGTCTTAACCAAAAAAAAAAAAAAAAAAAAATCCAAAGGAGCAGAACCCTGGAGGTTCTCAAAAGGGTGTTTGTTGGACAAGGCACTGTCTAGGGGCCTTACCTGCTCTGCTGTTCCCTCTCAGGCTCAACCTTCTGTCTAGCTTCCTGGAGAAGCATTCCATTCTCCTGCAGCCTGTGCACCATCCTTTGCCTGGCCTTCTGAGCTCCCATTTAGCTTATTCTTCTGCCCAGCACATGTTCAGCAAGCCCAGAGGGATGGTGCTACCTGCACAAACTATTGTCTGTTTTTTAACTCCTTGAGGCTCAGAGTGGGGCTTTTATACGCCTCACAGCTCCAAAAGAGGAAAAAAATCCAGCCAAGGATCCTTAGGTTAATGATATCAAGTTTAAATTGATATTACTTGGGGCTATAATATTGACATGGCCAGATCCATAACTACCAGCATCAAGTGACAACACTAGACTTCTTGTTCAGTTCTGGGCTGCTTTGTGCTTTTTTGCAACTAAAGTTCATATTCATGAGCAGATAATATGTTTGGACTTCAGACTCAAGCTCACTTTGATTTTGCATCATAGGGCCTGTTTAAATATTTCCCATTGCTTCTGTTTGTGTCTGTGTTTAAAAAGTGACTAATATTATTTCTTATAACTTTGCAGACGACAGATGCCAATTCAAATGTGAGGAAAAGAACAAACGCCATGGTACAGTCGGAAGCTGATGGTGGGAACCGAACTGATACAGCAAACAGTTCTAACCAACCTTCGGTGGTAACTCAGGGGTCCTCTGACATTACACCCCAGTCTCTTTCAGCATCAAGTCCAAATCCGTTCAGTCGCCTCAATGTCTCAGAAACATTGTCTTCTGCAAGAGCTACTCCTCCAGCTCCTCCCTCCACCCCAATTTTAACTGGATGCATAACACAGCATGCCACATCTGGATCCTCCTCCATTCATCATTTACTCGGATCTAGACTGGAGCAGATTCAGACCACAGCTAATACGGTCGGCACATCTGTAAAGTCGACTGCTATCTCTCCGCCTCCTGTTTCCCCTGCCTCCAGCTCTGGCACTAGTAAGATAGACAAATATGCACGCATTCTGTTTCCAGTCACATTTGGAGCATTTAACATGGTCTACTGGGTAGTGTATCTATCCAAGGACACCATGGAAAAATCAGAAAGTTTAATGTAGTTTTGCTGCTATGTAGTAGTTTCCTTAATTATTATAACATATTTGTTGCAGGGTTCCTTCTTTTAAAACTAATTTTTAAAAAAGAGACCATTAATTCTTATTTTACAAGGCTCTGTGCTAGATTCCCACTGTGAAGAACAAGTTTATTGGGATAATTAACTCATCAGTGTATAAAAGGGAAGAAAATTGGCTTCCCTCCCCCAAATGACAGTGAGCTGTCAATTTGTTCAAACAAAATACCCTGGGAACACAGAATTTGCTATGGAGGGGAGGAACAGAGCTGGGAAGCCAATCAAATGCAGTGACACACTTTTATACAGTGTAACATACCATATATTCCGGCGTACAAGACGACCTCTGATGTTAAAAAACATCCCCCAAAAATCGGGGGTCGTCTTGTACGCCGGGTATACATCCCAGGCGCGCCTGG